ATCATCATCATCATCATCATCATCATCACCATCATCATCATCATCATCACGCTCACCGTCGCCATCATCAGCATCATCAGCATCATCAATCAGCATCATCATCATCAGCATCATCATCATCCTCATCATCATCAGCAGCATCATCGCCATCGTCACGAGCATCAGAAGTATCCCCTTCTCCACCTCCCCTCCTCCTCCTTCTCCACCTCCTCATCCTCATCCTCATCTTCACGCACCTCCTCCTTTCCTCCTCCTCCTCCTCCTCCTCCTCCGTGGTCATGTGGACTGAAGTGGCGCCGCTTGCTGCAGCGGCTTTCTTCCGCAGGCGAGACCCGCGGCACCGAGCCGAAACACGAGCTGATGGATAATCAGTGCAAGATCTGCCATGATTTCGGGTTCTGGGGCAACGCCTGTCCATTTCGCACGGCCTGTGGGCACGAAGGCAAATGCCAAAGCCAAGCCATCTACGGGATCGTCGAGGATTCCACCATCGCGCCAGCGTAGATGAAGGCGGCATGATGCAAGCCGTCGTGTCCAGCTGCTCGGATCCAGGCGGATCAGATGACGAACGGTGCCGTGGTCAAAGTGGTTGTTACCACGACCAGTGCGCCATCCACGAGGCGCATCTGAGGTGCGCAGAAGGCACTTCACGCAACTACTCCTCCACAGACGAACACACAGGGGTGCCAGAGCACGCAGCGTGAGAGGGCGGCCGGTCGGCTCGCAAGCTGCAGTGCTCCGTCCCCATTGCCCTTCTCTCCCCCCCCGCGCGCGTCCACAGCCACTTTAGCTAGGCACGTGTGCCTCCTGACAGATGTGTGCACATATATAGATGTATATATATATATATGCATATGTATGCATATGTACGAATGTACAGATATACCGAAGCAAACAGAGCCACAGCAGCGCCATGGATAGACGTGTTATCGTTGTCATCCTACTCATCGTCTACGTAAGATCGACGTCTTCTTGTGCAAGTTGGCTCCGCTACCAGCTGGAGAGCCGTATCGTCGAAGCGCACCACGGCGGGCTGGAGCGCGATAAGCTTACGACATCACCATCCGGCCCCTCCCCCCCTCGCGTCTACAGCCACTTTAGCTAGGCACGCGCGTCTCCTGACATATATGTGCACTATACACTAGTAACAGAGCAACAGCAGCGCCGTGGATAAACGTGTTACCGCTATCATCCTACTCATCGTCGACGTCTTATCGGCGCCTTCTTGTTCCAGTTGGCCACCCTGCCGGCTGGCTTTCCAGCGGGGGGGGCGAGCCAGGCGGCCCCAGGGAGAGCCTCGAGCGGCCGGCTGGAAGGTAGCTACTGGGAAACAAAGGCAGCATCGACGCAAGGGAGAAGGAGAGGGAGAGGAGGGCCATACCGAATACATATATATATATATATATATATAGATGGGGAGGGCGAGGGTGAGGGTAGGTGGCGGTGTGGCACTGGCAAACGGCGAAGCCGAAATCCTCCTCCTCCTCCTCCTACTCCTCATGCTCCTCCTCCTCCTCCTTCTCCTCCTCCTCCAGCTCCTCTTCCTCCTCCTCCTCCTCCTCCTCCTCCTCCTCCTCCTCCTCATCCTCCATTCCTGTTCCTTTTGAATAACTTCTCCCTGTCGCACCCCGAGGCCGGTCGAATGGGCGGGCCAGGCGTTTCACCTGAGACTTCCCTACCATGTATGACCTTGAAGCTTGAACATTGGCAACAGTCTCACAGATGGACAGCGGGTGGTTTTCAAAATGTGGCTCTCGCATTAGCGCCGCCAAGAGTTTCACGGATTCAGGGCGGGTGGTTTCCAAAATGTGGCTCTCGCCTTAGCGTCGCGCGCATTCCTTTTAAACATTTGCAAGGGCTTCACGGATTGAGGGCGGGTGGTTTTCAGAATTTGGTTCTCGCCTAAGCGTCGCGCACAATCCCTAAACATTTGCAAGAGCTTCACGGATTCAGGGCGGGTGGTTTTCAAAATGTAGCTCTCGCCTTAGCGGCGCGCATGCTCGTTTCAAATATGTGCAACAGTTTCACGGATTGAAGGCGGTTCGTGTTCAAATGTGGCTCTCGCCTTGGCGCCGCAGACATTCTTTTTAAACATTTGCAAGAGATGCACGGATTGAGGGCGGTTCGTTTTCAAACGTGGCTCTCGCCTTAGCGCCGCGTACATCCCTTGAACATTGCAAGAGTTTCACGGGGTCCCATGGTCAACTTACCAGAAGTGATGTTTTGGAAAGATTCAGGATTTAGAGGGTGCAACATTTACGTTCATTCGCGGCGTTGAAGTTCCTCAAATGGCGGTCTGGCACGATTCACGATCATCAAGATGCAACAGTCAGGTTGATCCGTGGCGTTGGAGTCCCGAGAATACAGGATTTCCCTCAGTGGGGATGAACTCCTGTGGAGGCCTACGAAGAGGGAGCTCGGAGGGAGGGTTTATGCCAACATCGTTGATGACTCTTGGGTTTACACTGGTCCTCCAACTCCTCCTCCTCCTCCTCCTCCTCCTCCTCCTCCTCCTCCTCCTCCTCCTCTTCCTCCTCCTCCTCCTCCTCTTCCGCCTCCTCCTCCCCTCTGCATGCGAAAAGGCCGCATGCAGAAGGGCCACCCCCCATCGCGAGCGCCCTCGGACCTCGCCGGCAGGCCCCGGCGCGGTCATGGCGGGCGTTGGGCCGCCCGCGGCCTTCCTGGTGACCGAAGAGGGCGGGGCCGCGAGGGCGCGCTCCGAGCCGGATATGGCCTGCGGAGGGGGGAGGATCGAACGGAGGATCGCAGGGGGGGTCCGTCCTCCTCTTCCTCCTCCTCCTCCTTTTCCTCTACTCCTCCTCTCCTCATCATCATCATGATCATGATCATCATCATCATCAATCATTCATTCATTATATCATCATCATCATCATCATCTCATCATCATCTCATCATCATCATCCCATCACATCATCCTCTTCTCCCCTCCTCCTCTCCTCCTCCTCTCCTTCCTCCTCCTCCTCCTCCACTCCTCCTCCTCCTCACTCCTCCTCCTCCTCCTCTCATCCTCCGCCTCCTCCTCCTCCTCCTCCTCTCCTCGTCTCCTCCTCCTCCTCCTCCTCTCCTCCTCCTCCTCCTCCTCCTCCTCCTCCTCCCCTCCTCCTCCTCACTCCTCCTCCTCCTCCTCCTCCTCCTCCTCCTCACTCCTCCTCTCCTCCTCCTCCTCCTCCTCCTCCTCCTCCTCCTTCCTCCTCCTTCTTCCTCCCGCGAGCAACCCGGACCCACCCCGCGACCCCACACTCCAGCGATCCACCCCGCGCCCCACCCGCGACCCACCCGCGACCCATCCCGGGGCCCATCCCGCGACCCACCCCGCGACCCGCCCTCGCGACCCACGCCACGACCCACCCGCAACACGCCCGCGAGCCGGCCCGCGACCCACCCGCACCCACGAGCCGCGATGCGACCCACCCACATTGCTTCAACGGGAAAAACAGCGCCCGCGGCGGCTCCACTGCATAATTTTGAAAAGTTAGGGGCCTGCGGCGGGTTTCTGCAAAGCCTCGCTGACTTCAGTGCCGACGTCCTCACCGCCCCCTCACTCTCATCCGCATATGCGGGGTGCCGCGTAATTCCGCGGGCCCTCGTCAAAACGAAACCGGGGGTAAACATCTAAAAGGAAACCCTGGGCCTACGCCCTTTCCTGGATAAGTGGAAGGGCCCCCTGGGGCCAGGTCTTCCGCGGCTGCGCCAGCTCCCCTCTTTTTCGGGTCATCTGGCCGCCTCGGGCCAGCGCCATGGAGCGCGCCCAGGGCCCCCCTCCACTGAACCGCCCATATGAGCAGAGGTGGTGGGGGAAGTGGGAAGTAGCAAAAAGGCGGCGGTACTGCGCTCGCGGTTGTGGGGAAGCGAAGCAAAATTGGAAACCTTGTCTGCGCCCCCCCAATGCGCAGGTGCCCTGGCGGCGACATGGCAAGCGGCGCCAGCGCAGCCGCTGCTTTAAACGGCCGGGGCTGGGTGGAGGTGGCAGAGGCGGGGGCGCAGTGGGCAAGCGCGCCGCCGGCGGTGGACGCTGGCGGCCTTGCCCACGCACGGCCAGGGGGAAGGCGCAAGGGCCTCTCCATCTCCCACAGGAGGCACCCAGAGGCGCCCCCGAGACAAACGGTGGGACCCCTCGCCTGCGAGCAGGCGTAAGGTTCACAGCACGCACGCCTCGGGGCCGCCTGGAGGGGTCCACCGAGCGCGCGGCGGCGGGTAGCCACGCTCGCCCTCGTGGCCGGCCACTCTCGCCAAGTGAAAGGCATGAAGGCCTCTCCCCCTGCGCGTAGAAAATCACCCGAAGCGCCCCCCACCCCGGCGACTGGCACCCTCCCCTGCAGAGCAGGAGAAGGTACCCTGATCGCGGAGGTAGGGGCCGCCTGAGGGATTTCCACTGTTCGTGCGGGAGGGTCCTGCTTTTTCGCAGCAGCGGCGCGGTGGACGCGGCGTGATCCTTCCCAACCCCGCGCAACGTAACCTCCACAATCCACACCCAACCCCCCTTCTGACGGCGCAGGCAGGCGACCGAAGGTCCCGGCCGCACGGCTGAGGCGCGGCCGCGACCGCCGTTGCTCGTTGACGGCCAGTGGTGAATGAGATGGGGAATGCGACTTCTTCCAGCTGCTCTCCTTCTACATTGCCTCCTGCTCTTACGGCACCGTTCCGTGACAAGGCGGCGCCAGAGGGCAGTCCGTCGCGCGCCCGCGTGCGCGGCGGGAGACCTTCCTGAGGCGCTGCGCTCCTCCTCCTCCTCCTCCTCCTCCTCCTCCTCCTC